TATAGGATGTTCTTACATATAAAGTTGAAAAAATGTATTTCAATCCATCCCCCAACCTACATGTCATAGATAATGCAAAAATAAAGCTTTTTTATTGCTAGGTAGGATTTATAATGTAGAGAGAAGAGATAGTTAATAGCTCAGAAGGCTTCTAGCAAGTGTTACATTGTTGAAATTCTAAAAAGGTTCACTGAAAATAGCTGTAGGCTGCCCTTTGATCACTGTCTTGACTATTGCTATAGCTAACTCTCACATATTCTCCAGCTCTAGTGCATGCAGACTACCTCCCCCACCCTGCCTTACAGTGCTTTTTTGAAGGTAAAATTCTTATTAGATTTAGCATCCTCTAGGACCTTAAAATTCAATGTATCAAGGTTCAGTCACAAATTATATCACACTTAGACCCAATGAATGTAAAACATTAAATTTAAGAGATACACAGAGAAGAGATTTTACCTGTCCTTCTTATAAAAAGATGGCAAATTCACATTAGTATTTATGGAACTTGACAACAGGTTCAAAGAAGAAAACCATAGTTTTCTAAAGAAATCATCAGGCCAGGCACGTAGTAAAGGTCTTTGAATTTAGCATAGGATAGAATATACGACTGACCAGAAAATGCTAAACCAACACTTTTGCCTAATTATTAAAAAAAGAAAAGAATAGTTTGGTTTTAAATCCTAATTGAAGTATCTTCCTCATTTAGAACATCCTAAAGACAATGACTAAGGACTAGAATCTAAAAGAAAGACTTCTTAAAGATATGATCTGAGATTGAAATACTGTCTAGGGAGGTAGTGAGTTTCCTGTCAATAAATGTTTCTGTTGAATAATCAGTGTACAAGCATTTATTAAGTGCTCACTGTGTGTCAGGCATGGTGATAAAAGCTGGATATATTTTTTCTTAAAAAAAGCAAAAAACAAAGCTTGTGCTTTCAAGGGGTTCATGTATTAATGAGGGAAATTATGAAAATAAACATAAGCATACAAGATATATTCAGTGTAAATGGATGATAATCTCAGAAGGAAGGCACTAGCAGTGTTAGGGGTCAGGGAAAGGACAATTGAGGAAGGTGATTTGAGCCAAATTTTTAAATAAGCCTCAGAACACAGAAGGAGTAAGTAAGAACCAAACCAGATATGGAAGATAGACAGGGTAAAGGCAAGGAATCATGAGATGAAGTGTGAGTAGAAAGAAGGCCAGTGTCACTGGATCTTAGAATTCACAGAGAGCTGCATGACCATTTCTAGAAGATATTGATATTGCAGAGACTATTAATCCATTAGATAAAAGTTTGTAGATGTTCTTCGTTTTCTTGGTGAAATCTTCCCCCCATAAACTTCTACCCTACATTTTTCCTGATTCTTTGTGGATTTCTTCCAGTAGATCTCTTCCTTCAAAATACAACACTGGGTTTTGAAACAGTGATCAGATGATGGAAAATTCCAGGACTCAAGGAGTTCTTTTTAGATTGGGTTATTGCTAAAAATGTGTTCAGTTACTTTTGTCACTTTACTTATTTGACAGACCTGTGTTTTACAAGATTAGTTTTCATATTTCCTGGTTATGTATGTGATATTGGAGATAGTCTACAATGAATCAAAGAGATTCAAGATATTGTGTCAGACATAATAGGTATCTAATAAAATGATGAATAAATGAATTATTCATTCTTTTCTGCCTTATTCTCTGTGGTGGTACTTGTTAGAACCATTCTAAAAAAATCAGGGCAGAGACAAGACAGAGTAGTAAAAGCAGTGACTTGCTTGAGATCTCCCCCAAATCCCCAAATACCTATAAAAATGGCTCTAAACAAATTCTAAATCAGCAGAACACAAAAAAAGCCAAAGTGAAACAAATTTCCAGCCAAAGACAACCTGGATGTTTGATCAAAAAGGTATATCAAGCCAGGCTGGAGAGGAACACAGCTCAGAATAGGCACCCAGGCTGCAGCAAACCTGGAACAGGCCTCAGAGGACTGAATCACAGTCAGCTGTGGCAGTTTCCAGACTTTTCAACCCATGAACACCAAAGACAACTTAGAAGGTCCGTAGGAAAAGTCTGTTTCTGCAGTGAGAGAGAAGTGTGGGGTTCCAGCCCCATTACCTGAGTTCGGCCCCAGGGCTGTGGCTGCCTCCTGAGATTCCAGCCCACAGACTAAGGGGGAATCAAGTGGCTGATGGGGTGGGGATATTGCAGATGTCTCTTTGCTCATGGTGAAGAAGGATTCTCTTGCTTTGTCCATGCTTGGATCTGGGTCACAGTTCTGGGTGGTGGTCCTGGGGCGAGAAGGAGCACTGGCGTGGTAGACCTTGTAGTGGCTGTGTTGAGAAAATCCTCCTCACAATTCCAAGACAGATTAGAGTTCTTGTGGTTACTCATAGACCAGAACACAGGACAGGAAAGGAGTAAACACCTCACCCTTGATTTAGCACCTTGGAAGAACTGAAAATTTACAGGTCCCTAGAAGTATCTCTGAACACAGCTGCACAAAACCCCTAAAGCTTGGGACAGTACCTCTACCTTAACAAACAGTTTATAACTGAAGTAATTGGCTGGGATCATGAGCAAGCAGCGCAAAAAGAGTCAGATTATATTATCTTACTTTGGTGACAAAGAAGATCAAAACATACAACCAGAAAAAGACAATGAAGCCAAAGCTCCTACATCCAAAGCCTCCAAGAAAAATATGAATTGGACCCAGGCCATGGAAGGGCTCAAAAAGGATTTTCAGAAGCAAGTAAGAGAAATAGAGGAAAAACTGGGAGTGATGCTAAAGGAGACCCAAAAAAATACTGAAGAAAATAACACCTTAAAAAATAGCCTAACCCAAATGGCAAAAGAGGTCCAAAAAGCCAATGAGAAGAAGAATGCCCTAAAAAATAAAATTGGCCAAATGGAAAAGGAAGTCCAAAACCTCACTGAAAAAAACATTTCTTTAAAAATTAGAATGGAACAATTGGAAGCTAGAAACTATATGAGAAATCCAGGCAATGTAAAACTAATACAAAAGAATGAAAAAATAGAAGAGAATGTGAAATATCTCCTTGGAAAAACAACTGACGTGGAAAATAGATCCAGAAAAAGAATTTTAAAAATATTGGGCTACCTGAAAGCCATGATCAAAAAAAGAGCCTAGAAATCATCTTTCAAGAAATTGTCAAGAAAAACTGCCCTGACATTTTAGAACCCGAGGGCAAAATAGAAATAGAAAGAATCCACCAATCCCTACTGAAAGAGATCCCCAAAGGAAAACTCCTAGGAATATTGTAGCCAAATTCCAGAATTCCCAGGTCAAGGAGAAAATACTGCAAGCAGCCAGAGACAATTCAAGTATTGTGCTTCCACAATCAGGATATGCAAGATTTAGCAAATTCTACAGTAAGGGACTGGAGGGCATGGCATATGATATTCTGGAGGGTAAAGATAGGATTACAACCAAGAATCACCTACCCAGCAGAACTGAATATAATCCTTTAGGGTTAAAATGGTCATTCAATGAAATAGGGGACTGTGAAGCATTCCTGAGGAAAAGACCAGAACTGAATATAAAATTTGACGTTCAAGTACAAGACTCAAATGAAACATGGAAGAGGTAAACAGGAGAGATCATAAGAGACTTATTAAGGTTGAACTGTTTACATTCCTGCATGGAAACATGATATTTGTAACTCATGAGCCTTTCGTCAGTATTAGGGTAGTGGGAGGGAAAAAAAATTATATATATATATATATATATATATATATATATATATATATATATATATATATATATATACAGATCAATAGATATATAGAGGGCACAGGGTGAGTTGAAGATGAATGGGTGATATCTGGAGAGTAAAATTAAGGGGTGAGAGAGGATTATACTGGGAGGAGGAGATAGGGAGAAGTAGAATGGTGTAAATTATCTCACATGAAACAGACAAGAAAAGGTTTTTACAGTGGAGGGGAAATGGGGGAAGGTGAGAGGGAATGAGTGAATCTTATTCTCATAGGATTTGTCTTAAGGAGGGAATAACATACACAATGGGGTATGGAAATCTATCTTACCCTACAGGAAAATAAGGGGGGAAGGGGACAAGAGAGCAGGAGGTTGATAGAGGGGAGGGCAGATTAGGGGAGGGGATAATCAGAAGCAAACATTTCTGAGGAGGAACAGGGTCGAAAGAGAGAATAGAATAAATGGGGGGTAGGATAGGATGAAGGGAAATATACTTAGTTTTTCACAACATGATTACTACGGAAGTGTTTTGCATGACTTCCCATCTATAACCTGTACCGAGATGCTTGCCTTTTCAATGAGAGTGGGTGGGGAGGGAGGAAGGGAGAAAATTTGTAACTCAAGTTTTAAAAACACACTTTAAAAATAAAAAATAATAATTAAAAAAATCAGCTATATTTCCCTCTTCTTAGAAAATGAAGTGTATCTGATTGTAAAGAATGAAATTATTAAGAATACTTCAATCTGGAATAGAACACAACAATATAAATATGCACATATATGTATCTATATATAGATCTAGCTATATATACATATATAGCTCTCTCTATATATATGTATACACACACACACACACACACACACACACATATATATATATATATATATATATATATATATATATATATATATATATGTCTCAACCCTCAACTTATAGCTATGGTATAGCTATACATATATATATATATGTGTGTGTGTGTGTGTGTGTGTGTGTGTATACACATATACATATATATATATATTTGTATGTAGATATAGATATAGATATAGATATAGATATAGATATAGATATAGATATAGATATAGATATAGATATAGATATAGATATAGATATAGATATAGATATAGATCTCCACATACACACACATTTACATACAAAGTTTTTTTCCGAAGGATTAATAATAAGCATGTCTGTACTTTCTTCTCCTTTCTTTCTTTGTTTCTTTCTTTCTTCTTCCTTTCCTTTCCTTTCTTCTTCTTCTTCTTCTTCTTCTTCTTCTTCTTCTTCTTCTTTGAATTGATCTTCTTATTCATCTTCATCTGTGTCTTTCCATAAATTGCTAGCAATGAATCACTATAAAAGTGGAACAGAATAACTCAAAATGAGTTAAATTCTTCAACAGTAAAAATTTTATTTTGAATTTGAAGGACTACTTATAAGATACATTCTAGAAAGAATCTTTACTTAATTTGAACTTAAATATATCTAATTCCCCCTTTTCAGTCTGAGATTCTATGAATCTGTGGTGTAAATGGGTAAGATTTTTAAATTGAAATCTACTTGGATATTTTAAGATCAAACAGTATAGGCAAAAAATAAGGCAAAAAAAATCTTCCCATGTGAAAGGAATGACCAAAATCAATACAGACATAAAAACTATAAAGGAGTCATTGTGATCTAGAGGAAAGAGCTGAATTTGGAAAAAATATATATTTCATATGTATATTATATACAAATATAATATATTATATATGCATATATATGTACATATATATTACTGAATTTAAAAAAATAAAATTTATTTAAAAGTACAGAAAATCAAGAATATCAAAGGAACTAATGGGAAAAAATGTGAAGGAAGAAGGTTAACCAGAACTAGATCTTAAACTATATTATAATGCAGTGATTATCAAAACTACTTGGTACTGGCTTTAAAAAAATTGAAAGGTAGCTCTGTGTAACAGAGTAGACATACAATTTACAGCATCAAATAAATATAGCAACCTTATATTTGATGAGTGTAAAGAAAGTTTTGGGTGATAAAAATTCGTTATTTGGTAAAAAAAAAATTGGAAAACTGGAGAGAAGTCTGGCAGAAATTTGGCATAGGTCAGTATCTTATATCATTTACCAAAATAAGATCAAAATGGATACCTGACATTGAGAAAAAAAGAAATATTACAATAAAAATTGAAGGACATGGAACATATTACCTATCATACTTATGCATAGGTGAACTATTTATGAATAAACAAGAGATAGAGAGCAGTGTAGAGTATAAATTGGGTAATTTCAATTATACTGTATTAAAGGGGTTTGGACAAATAAAACAAATGTGACCAAGATCAGAAGAAATCAGAAAATTGGCAAAAAAAAATAATAATTTAGACAGATTCTCTGATAAGGGTCTCATATAAAATATATATATAAAATTCTGTCAAATCTATAAGAATATGTGTCATTCCACATTTGATAAATGGTCAAAGGGTATAAACAAGCAGTTTTCTGATGATGAAATCAAAACCATTTATAATCATATGAAAAATTGCTCTAAATCATTATTGATTAGAGAAATGCAAATTAAAACAACTTTGAGATATTTTACACCTATCAGATTGGCTAAAATGATTGAAGGGGAATGTGACAAATGTTGGAGGGGATGTGGAAAAATTGGAACACTAATTCACTGTTGGTGGAACTGTGAAGTGACTCAACCATGTTGGGAGAGCAATCTGGAATTATGCTAAAAGAGTTATAAAACTGACTATAACCTTTGATCTAACAATACCACTACAGGTATGTTTCCCGGTATGATTAAGGAAAAAGTAAAAGAACTCTGTGTTCTAAAATGTTTATAGTAGCTCTCTTTGTGGTGGCAAAGAAGTGGAAATTGCAGGGATTCAGATCAATTGAGGAATGGCTGAACAAGTTGTGGTATATGATTGTGATAGAATACTACTATGCTATAAAAGTGATGAGCTCGAAAATCTTTTAAAAAATGTATAGACTTGCATGAAATAATGAAAAGTCAAATAAGCAGAACCAAGACAACACTGTATATAGTAACAGAAATATTGGTTTAAGAACAACTTTCAGTGACCAAGTCATTTTGACGATTATAAATACTTAAATTAATTACAATGGACATATAAAGGCAGACACTATCTGCAAACTAGAGAAAGAACTGCTAAATAGAAGTATGTATAGAATATTTTTACACACATTCATGCAAGCTTATGTGTGTATATATGTGTTAATATATGTATATACATAGATGCATCATACATACATATATAAATACACATGTGTGTCTAAATGGCAGCCATCTCTAGGGCAGGCACAGGGGGAAGGAAAAAAAAGGAAAAAGAAATGAAAGTTATATGACAACTTTATTGCGTATTTAAAAGAATAGCAAGTTATACATAATAGATTTGCAATTTCATGCAATCATCTTTTTCCTATTCAACTGTTATAAAAAGGCTTGCTTTATTGGAGTTCAAAATAAAATAACTATATTTTTAAAAGATATGGTTTACTGGGTATGTCTATTTGGGGGAATTGTTTATTCTACTCATAGTTTATACAAACATTTATTATAAATTGCCTCGTGCATCAGCAAAGAGTTGTTTTTATAAGGATATCTTTCAAGTTTCATGATATTGTTAAGTGCTCACCATGTCCAATACTTTTAACTTTTTCTTCACAACGAAAACATTCGTGATAATGACTCATGATGCTTTTGAGTAAAATATCAGCCTCTGAATTCTTTCATTTCATTTCTTTCTAAGCCTTCTCTTGGATTATTTATTCTCTCTCTATATGCCGTATAATAATTCTCTTTCTATGCTTTCTCAAACTTCTTTAGTTCCCACAAGTTTATTTATCATTGGGAGATGACCTAGAAAAAAAACTCCAAATATCTAGCTTTAGTCCCTTTCCTGAGCTCCAGCTACTCATCTCCAACTACCTACTGGATTTGCCAAATTGGACATATCAAAACATCATATCCAAAATCAAATTCATTATCTTTATCAAAAAACTTACCCACCACTTCTAAACACCCTTATTTCTATTGAAAGTGAGATTCAACCTTTCAACATCCCAGGTCCTAAACTTCAGATTTGCCCTTGACTCACTGCTTTCCCTTAACTCATATGTCAAATCAGTTAGCTACTTCTTTCATTTGTATCTCCACAATCTCTCTCATATTTGTCTCCTTTACTAACAAACACTAGTACTATGGCTGATGACATCCCTTGTCTTCTGTATTATTGTAATAGCTTCCTGACTGGTCTCCCTGCATCATGTTATTCCTCTTCAATCTCTTTTCCAACAAGCTAGTAAAATGATTTTACAAAAGTACAAATGTTTCTGTTCACTCTTCTACTAAATAAAATCAAATGGTTACCTGTTACCACTAGGATGAATCATAAATTACTTTATTTAGCATTCAACCTCTTTACAATCTGGCCCCAACTTATTTTTCAACCTTATTAAATATTACTGTACGTTATACTTAAGCATATATAATCTCTTCACACTCTGTAGGCCTGCCAAATAAACCTTCTAGCTGTAACACTCCGTCTCCCATCTCCATATAATTTCCAGTCTGTTTCACCAGTGCCTAGAATTCATTCCTTCTTCTTACTGTAGAATACCTTATATCTTTTAAAGCAATGCACAAGGGCAACCTTTTACATGAACTCTTTTCCAATCCAATTAGAAGCTCCTGTTTTCATGCATCCTCCATTATCTTGTATTTATTTTAATATGACTTTTCATATACATATAATTTCTCCCCATAATAAGCTCCTTGAGGGCAGGAATAAATGTTTTTCTTTTGTATCCCCATGGACTATAACAGTGTCATTTGTTAAGAAATATGTATTGATTGCTTGATTTCTTTGTTAATATCCTTTCCTTTTCATTGAAGTCAACAGGAAGTCAACCAAATGATGACTAAATTTGGATGATCTTTTGAGTATTTCATAGAATTTACTTGCTTTATCCTTACTGATTTATATTGGCAATAAAATATAATTATCTTCATGTCATGCTTCTTGCTGATGTTTATGAAAAAAACAATTATTTGAAATCACCAAATATCCTAAAAATATTTTTATTTTTTTTTCTTTTTTGTGTTCAGGATAAAACCAGTCTCTTTTTGTAATTTCTTCAATGAAATCTTATGATCTATTTGTCCATTTAGCTGGAATTTCTTTATATCTTCTGGTTGCACTTATAGCAAAAATTACAATATGGACTTTGTTTAGAAGCTCAGTGGTTATAAGTTAATAAAAGAATAAAACAATGAAAAAAGCATTTATTAAGCATTTTCTATATGCCAAGTGCTGTGCTAAGCCCTGGAGATACAAAAAGGAAATGCTAAAAAGTTCCTCCTCTCAGGAAACTTATACTGTTTTTGGAATAGGCAACATATAAAAGAAAGTTCAATATTAAGGTGTTTAGTAACACCCACAAGTCCTAAGAATGCAGTGGAAAGCAAATCTCAAGGCCTAGGTGTCCAGGTTACAACATTTGATCAGACAATAGAGCCTACGGTCTGTAGATTGTAGTAGAGGTCAGGAAGAATTTAAAAACTAAAGGAACTTAGGAGGAAGTATCAGTATAGTTGGTAAGGTCTGGTGGTTATCTACCTGGTCTGAAAAAATAGAATTAGTGATTCCCATCTCATCTAAGCTGTGTAAGTATTAAGTAGACTTGAAAGGTTTTGTTTACCTCAGTTTCAGGAGTGAATGAAGGGCTAAGGAAGTTAAGAGAGTATCCTCCTGGGCTGACATGACGTCCTGTTGCACAGCCATCACAGATAGGTTCTAAGGTGTCCTAATGGAAGAGGAGAGGAGGAAAAGGGAGAACAGGAGTAAAAGGGCATTGTTATTGATAACCATTCATAGAGAAAGATCAAAGGATTTTAGAGTTAGAAGACATCTCAAAGGGTATCATATTTAATCCCTACCTAAAAGCTCAGTGGTTATAAGTTAATAAAAGAATAAAACAATGAAAAAAGCATTTATTAAGCATTTAATAACCTGGTATTCTTCAATATTTTGTTTGAGGTCTTCTAGTAAAAGAAAAAAACACTACATCCTAAAATGATCCATTCTATTTTTTTGGATAGTTATAACTATTAATTGTGATTATTATACTTTTTTCAAATTATTAGGAAACTTCTTTCCCTAAAATCTTGTAATTTTCTTGCTTTCCTCCTGTTAATTATTTCCAATATACCCTGTATGTAGCTTCTTTTTATATAGTTTTATACTATATATGCTATGTACTTTTATGTACTTCCTTGTTTGTTGTCCTTCCCATTATATGGTGAGCTCCTTAAGGGCAGGGACTTTCTTTTGCATTTTTTTCTATCCTTGGTGCTTAGTAGTTCCTGGCATATAGTAGATACTTAATAAAAGTTTATTGATTTATTAATTGGTTTATTTTGTACATCAAGTTTAAAGTTGCCTTTTTTCATCTTCTATTCATTGCCCATAGTTCTGCCCTCTAGAGACAAACTAAACAAGTCCGACCTTTTTTTTCCCCAAAATAAGAGCCCTTCATTTACAGTTATTGTGAGTCATTCCCTTCTTTTCAATTTTTGTCTTTTGTACACTTACCATTACAAATTCCTTCACCTGATCCATATGTATCTTATACCTGAAACACTTTATCATTCTGGTTGTCCTCTTTGTAATATCTCCAAATTATCAAAGTATTTCCTAAACGGTGGCACCAAGGCTGAACAAATATCCCAGATGTGATCTAAGAAGAAATTCAATATCTCTGTAACCTGTAGGCTATGGCTTTTTCACTGTAGCCCAATATTGACTAACTTTTTTGGCTGCGGTATATATATTATATATTTATATGAAGCTTTTTGCCCTCTGTCTTTGTAATTATGGCTTTGGTTTTATATTACATTTGGTTTTTACATTACATTCATTTCTGAATATAACACCTCCCCCCCCCAAAAAAAAAAACCAGAAGCGTACTCAGTAAACCATTGCTACTGCATCCTAGGCCAACAATGGTTGTCTTGATGTTTGTCACATCATTGGACTTCAATGACTATAGAGGAGTGAGGCTGACAACTTTGGACAGCTCTACCTCACTTACATTAAATCCAATTCATGCCATAAGTCAAGATATTACCTTCATGATATTATTGGTCCTCTTCAAGAAGAAAGGAAGAATAGCAACAACAACTTACAATTTACACAAGCTGTTGTTTCTGAAGAAAAGAGAAATAAATGAAAATAAAAATTCTAACAGCACTATTGTTTAAATGAATTTAACAAAGGTTAAACTGTTGTATATAAGAAATGATACAGAGACATTATTAAAGACACATGGGCCTGGAAAAGGAGATGATCTCGTGGTAAGAGATAAACATCCCAAGAGTTGAACTAATGCTTATGAAATATTAAAAGACATAGGAGAAAGTGCTTACTACAGTGCCTGGAACATAGTAGATTCTACATAAATGCTAGTTATCCTTATTATTCTTATTATATGAATGACCGTTTTAAGTTATTTTACTATATTTACATTATTTTACTATAATGGTTACATGGAAAATTATTATGTGCATAAGTCACTGGAGTTATGAGACCATTGATTCTTCAAAGCTTATATATTGAAATATCAAATTTGGAAATTTGGCTTATGTACAATTATAGAAACACATAGACATGTTATATGATGCTAGGCTTTTCAAAGTACTTTTACCAGAATCCTTGAGGTGGGAGAAACCTCAGAAATTAGGTAGTGTATTGTCTGTTCTTATTACTTCACCTTAATAGTATTTCTAATAAATGGTTACTCAGCCTTGGGTTAAATACCTGCAATGAAGAAGTTCACTGAATTTTTTGAAAGCTTGTTGTTTATACTTTTAGACTTCAAGGGAAAGAAGAAACAGTCTTTGTGAAGCACATCACAAATATTATTTTATTCTCATAACTCTGAAAGCAAACTATTATTATTATCCCCATTTTACAAAGGAGGAAACAGAGACAGAAAGCAGTAAAATCACTTGCCCAGGGTCACAAACCTGGTAAGTGTCTAAGGCTAGATTTGGACTCAAGTCTTCCTGACTCCAAATCCAGGGCTCTATCCACTGTACCAACTTGCTACCTCTAAAATCTAAACTCTGTTCACCATGGCAAGCTGTTAAATATTTGAAAACTCCTATAATGCCTCCTGTATAGGTAAAATGAGATTTTGGAGACCCTTAAATGTAAGGCTAAGATGCCCTTTCACTCACATCCCCCCAAACCTTATCTTAAGATTTCCAGAAAAAGAAGTGCAGTTCCTCATCACAGAGGGGTGTTAGCTCTTGCTGTAGGCATTAGGGAGATACTGCCGGTTTTGAAGAGAAGCGATATGATGAAAACAATGTTTTAGAAAAATTGCCCTGGCAGCAGTGAGCGGGATATATTGAAGGAGGGAGAAATTAAAGTCTGAGAGACAAATGAGGAGACTATTTCAGTCATATAGAAGATAAGACTCTAGGCTAGTGCGGTGGAAATGGAACAGAGAGGAAGAAGCAACTCAGAAAGACATTTGAAAGAAGAAATGACAGGCCTCAGTGCCTTACTGGATATAGTAGATGATGGAAAGGAAAGAATCACAGGTTACTTCAAGGTTTACTGTCTCTGGGAAGTTATAAAGAGTGTATCACTGACAGGAGAAGGAAAGTAGAGAAGGGGAGGCAGATTACAGGAAAGAGTGTCATAAATTCAGTTTTGGACATGCTGAATTTTATATTATGGTGGAACAGCTAAGTAGGAATGCCCATTGGCCATCTGATGATACAAGTCTGAAAGGGAAAAAAAGACTTAGGAAATATGTATACCAAGTTGATTGTTGAAGTCAAGAGAATGTATGAGCCCCTTCTCAATCTCTTTCTAGAAGGGAGAAGAGTATAAATCATGAGTAACAAATAATGGATGAATGACTTCATGAAGTTTACAGAGGGAAGAGAGGCTGATGAATAAAACTGGGGAAAGATCACACTAAGGAAGTACATAGAAAATCTTGTTGTTAAGTTAGTGTCCTTAACGATTATTTGAGAACCTTGTCATTAGCCCTCTCCCTATTTACCTTAGCTTGAAATACCAAAAATATATTTAGATATAGGTACATAAAATGCTACAAAGTACATAAAGATGCATCTAAAGTATATATGTGGATATACATGCATGCATTGTGCACATATATAAATACATTTCTACACATGCACGTACGCATGTATATATTTTGTGTATATGCATACACATACACAGATGCATACATCTGTGTATATAATGGGACTAAATTAACATGATGCAAATTTAAGGCAAAGTTCCTGATGGTGAGAGCAATGGAAAAAAAGTAATAGTATGTCATAGTAGATAATGTGTTCCCTCTACTAGAGATCTTAAAGTGAAGCTTCATCAGGAATATAATAAAGGTCTCTTCATTTCTCACTAGACTGCAATGCAGACACCTCCACCATGCCTCAGAAGACTCTATACCTTGAGAGATCCCTTCAGCACAGTATTCCAGATCTTGGAAGAACCCTCCCTCTGATTGGATGGCTCTTTCTAGAACTTCCATTTAAATAGAGTGCACAGGCCAGTCACCTCTTCATTTCTCAGCAAGTTCTCACCAGATTCTTCCATCATTCTCCAGGACTAGTTAACTTCCTTCCCTCTCCCTTTTATCTCAGTGTCCTTTTATGGGCTATCTTTCCTCAAAAGGTAAGTAAGCATCTTGAGAATAGGGACCATTTTTGGTTTTGCTTATATTTTTATTGCCAGGGCTTACTTGCCTGGTACATAGAAAGCTTTAATAAGTGTTTATTGACTGACAGGATGTAGTTTTGGTCATAGATGGTTTGAAACAGATAGCCTCTAAGATCCCTTCTAGGTGAGACTCAAAGAAAGTCAGGAAAACCAAGAGGCAAAGGTGAGGAGGAAGACAATTCTAGCTGTAGAGATAGGAGCACACAATGAAAATACCAAGAATTGTGAGATGGAGTGTCACATGTGAGAAAGAGCAAGGAGGCCATTGTCATAAGATCACAGAGTATATGGGTTAGCATAAGATAGAAGAAGAGCTAGGTAGAAAGATCAGATTATCAAAGGGATTTAAAAGCCAAGCAAAGGATTTTATAGTTGATCCTGAAGTTAATAGACAGAAGATGACATTGTGAGACTTAAGTTTTAAGATCAATTTGAAAGATAGTTCAGGACTGACTAGAGTTCAGTAAGACTTGAAGCAAGAAATCCAAACAGAAGACTGATGTCCAAGAGTAGTGGCAATATCAAAGGAGAAAAAAAGGATTATATAGGAAAGATATTTGGAGGGTAGAACTGGCTGGACCTGGCAACGGTTTGGATATGGGAGAGTCTGAGAGAGAGAATTCAAGGATGACTCCATGATTGTGAGACTGAGAACTGGGAGAGTCACTGGCTTCCACAATAATACAAAAGGGAGAAATGGAAGATTTGTGAGGGAAAGATAGGTATTCCAAGTTAGGACATGTTCATCAAAGGAGACTGATGAGGGTTTACATTTAAAGGAGGAAAATAATTAGATAGCAAGTGTCATGAAAACCTGAGGAAAAGAGAGTATCAAAGAGAAGGTAATCTGCAGCGTCAAAGGCTGCTGAGAAGTCAAGGAGGTTGATGACTGACAAAAGGCCTTTAGACTTGGAAAATAGAGGTTATTGGTAATTTTCAACAGAGAAGTTTAATTTGAATAATAAACTCAGAAATCAGACTGTAAGAGATTTCAGAAGAAAATGAAATGAATGGAACTGGAGGTACTGATTGTGGATGGCCTCGTGGATTTAAGCTATTAAAATGAAGATAGATATAAGACAATGGCTACTAGGAGTAGATGGATCAAGTGAAGATTTTTTAGGGTTTTTGTTTTTGGGGGGAGGAATTTGGACATGTTTATAGGCAGTCAGTAGATAGGAATTGATTGAAGATCAGAGTAAGAGGGAAGACATGATATGGAGGCCAATCTATTAGAAAAAGCTGGATGAAATAGTACCACTTGTGTATATAGGGAGGTTTGTCTTGGCAAGGAGAAGAGCCAGCCCTTCATGTGAGATGGGAATGGAGGAGATAATGCAGGAAGGTGTCTGAATGATGTGAGATGAGGAGGGGGGGGGAATAGAACTCTCAGTGAATGGCCTCAATTTATTCAGGTTTTTGGCTGAGAATGGGGAGGTGGAAGCTATTTGAGATTTAAGGAGAAATATAACAGTTTGGAAAACCTACCGTGGTAAGTAGGATAGTGATCTATTTCTGAACTTCTTATCTCCTTCAGAATTTTAATGAGGATTATGTTTTAGGAGTCATACTTCCTGTAAAGTTCCATCTCATAAAGTCTGAAATAATTATAGTATCAAGTTTGCATCCTCATTTTACAATCTTTAGCTTTTTTGTGGGCTCCTTTTTCAGATGTTCATCTTCTATCAATTACTGCACACTTCTATTGGTATTCTTGTTTAAAATGCAGAGAATCTGCAGCCTCAAGGCCACATGTGGCCCTCTAGGTCCTTAAGTATAGTTCTTTGATTAAAACCAAACGTCACAGAACAAATCCCCTTAATAAAAATATTTGTTCTATAAAACTCAGACTCAGTCAAAAGGTCACACCTGGCATACACATTTAGGTGGTGGTGTTGGTGGCTGAAGTTCAAAAAACTTTTCAATAATTTCTAAGATTTCAGGTAAATATATTCTTCCTGGACCTTGTTAAATATGATCTCCTTCTCACCACAATGATGTTTTGTTGTTTTGTTTTGTTTTTAATTAGAACCCATGATCCTGGAATAGTAATCTCATTCTCTGAGATTCTATCTTCTTAATCAGATTTTCACTTCCTAGATCTGTCTTTCTCTTCTTAAGCCCAAGTCACGCCTTGTCCTCACACTTGTTCACTGTTAATGTTTTACCTCTGAAATAACATTCTATTTTCACTCTATGTATCTTAAATGTCATATATATTATTTTTGTATGCATATATGTATATATTTGGGTGTGTGTGTACGTGTGTGTGTGTGTGTGTGTGTGTGTGTCTTATATGCCATTATTTGCATGTTTTCTCCCTCATCAGAATGTGAGTTTCTTGAGAATAGGGGTTGTGTTTTTGCTTTCTTGGTGCCTCCTATATTTAAGACAATGTCTGGTACATACTTAGTAAAGGCTAAATAAATATTTGTCTATTGACTGA